AAAATACAAACTCAAGATTTGGCAAACAAAAACTTGGATTTTCTCTGAAAATTCATAAGCTTGAAAAGAAAGGCCATCTTCAAGGAAGAACACTGTTCAACTCAACAACGGGACCTAATAGAGTGAAGAAGAGTTTTTGTTGTATTTTGAGCTTTGTGTCTTATGTGTTTACATTGTAAATCTATTCATAAGTTATAAAGGATAGTAGATCATTTGCTTGTCTAAATATTTAGTTGAGTCGTATTAACTAGAGTTAGTTAGTCGAATCTTCTAAGTTTTGGTCAAGCCTTTTACACCATTGTTTTGGTGTTCTCTTGGGTAGAGTTGCCTAGGAGTGTCAACTAGAGTTAGTTGATGTGTGGTGCAATAGAGTTGCTGTCTTGGAGATCGGAGTTGATGGCTAGAGTTAGCCTTGGGGGTTCTTAAAGTCTAGATCAACTAGAATTAGTTGGTTTAGTGGGCAATAGGATTATTGCTTTGTCTTGTTTAAGTAATAAGAGTATTACTTAGTGTGGGATTAAGGTGTTAATCTCACAATTGTGGTTGTAAATTGTGTTTCACTTTTGCTTGAGAAGATTAGTGAAAACAATTTGAAAATCATGTGTGATAGGTCGTGGTTTTACTCCCTTGAGCAATGAGGTTTCAACGTAAAACTTTGTGCCTGTTTTACATTGTACTATTTATTTTCTGCACTATTATTCTATTGAGGGACCTGGTCCCGTGATCACTGGTGGACGCATACATTCCAACAATCAAGCATCTAATGCTTACAAAGTAATCATAAAGATGGAAAGCAATATCTCTATGTCATGAATCTTGTCCCTTATATTGGCATATCGTTTTTGATAACTTTAGTGAATAACAAGATGAGTATATCTGAATCTTCTACTATAGTTGAATTAAGAACTAGTACACTATTTTGGGTCTTAGCTAGAATTCTAGAATGACATCTTTGGCAGAACTATCAGCACAAAAATATTTTGCCTATTTGTATAAACCTGGAATCTTCGCTTCATTAAGCAGTGTGACGTTGTTCATCTTCTCAGTCACCCTCATCAACCTCAAGAAGCAGCCAAGTGCAATGTCCATGTATCCAATTTTGTCTCCGCCAAAGAACTTCTTACCTTAATTTGTTGCAATTCTTGAAGGCATCTTCCAACAACACCAGACTGTCAAACACTGGCTCTAGTGTTGCCTTTATGGCATCCTCTCCTTGGGAAACTGCTAAGCAACGGAATGATGGAAACCACTGCAGCATCAATTAAAATGTAAATACTATTGCAACCAACCACTGAAAAGAGAAACATGAACCCTCCAAAGAATTTGTTAAGGAAATAAGCATTAGGCCTAAATTAACCTCGCTAGCTCGTGATGACAACTTATTCTCTCAACCAATGTGAGACTCTAACACTCTCCAGCACACGTTCAAGACTGAACATCTGGAGCGTGAACAACATAATTAAGCAATTAGAAATGTTTTATTCATAATAGTGAACCCTCCAAAGAATTTGTTAAGGAAATAAGCATTAGGCCTAAATTAACCTCGCTAGCTCGTGATGACAACTTATTCTCTCAACCAATGTGAGACTCTAACACTCTCCAGCACACGTTCAAGACTGAACATCTGGAGCGTGAACAACATAATTAAGCAATTAGAAATGTTTTATTCATAATAGCTTAAGCTTTTACATAAAATGATAACACAATTTCAACATGGTATTAGAGTTTCCACCCCTACTCAAAAGAAAAATATAAATATACTACATGTTTGGGCATGAAAACGAATAAGACACTACAATATGTAAGAGGAATTTTGGGGACATACTAGTCCTACAAAGGGTCTGGGAAGGTAGAGCGTACGCAAACCTTACCCCTACCTCAGCAGTAGAGAAGTTGTTTCTGATAAGTTACAAATTCAACTGTTAACAATTATAGGATATGGGACCTTTTCATCTATATAGGCTGCCCAAAATTGTGTCGTGCTATGGCATGATCATAAAGATCAGAAAGAATAATGGAGGGACCATTTAGACAAGCTTCATCGATGTACTGAAGGATGACAAGGGACTCACAGTTAGGCTTTTCGTCATGGATCAGGACGGGGATTTTCTTGTAAACAGGGTTGGATTTAAGGAGCAGCTCACTTTTGTTTAACATGTTTTGTTGTATAAACTCAGTCTCAATAGACTTTATCTTGAGGGCTATTTCAACGTGGTTCACGAACGGGCTTGCCAATATACGTAGAAGCTTTACATTATTTGTTGCCATGGCTAACTTCCTCAACAACTAATATTGAAGGAATGACTAATAAGCAGAGTTAACACTCTTTTTTAATGAAATATGAGACAACATTCGATGCATCTTGCACATAAGTTATATCTAGTGTATTATGCCGGTTTGTCTTTGCTACAAAATAAACAATATTGTAAGTGAGATCAACATGTTGTAATATGCTTTAAATATAGTGAGCATTCATTAATTTAAAATTCTGGATCCGCCACTGTATACACATCAATTCTTCGTCAAATGTACCCTAATGTGGTACACAAACCTCTAATATACAATTAAAGGCAACTAAGATTGATTAAGCAGAGAAATCTAATAGTTAGATACAATTAATATAATCAAGCAATTAGAAATATTCTATTCTTAATAATTTAAGCTTTTAGGTAACACAATCATATAATTTACACGTAATAGAGTTGCCACCGCCACTCAAAAAACCAAAAATATACTGTCTGTTTGGCAATGAAAAAGAATCAAACACTACACATAGGGCAGGATTTTTTGAGACATAATATAACTAAGTAAAGTGCTCTCGTTAATAACTTAAGCTTTTACAGTTACTAAGAGAGATGTGTACCTTATCGTCAATATAACATACCCCAAATCGAGCAATGGCACGATTATATGGATCCGAGGGGAGAATAGAGGGACCAGAATTAGTCCAATTTTCATCAATGTACTGAACAATGATGAGAGATTCACAAATGGCCTTTCCATAATGAATTAGAACTGGAATTTTCATGTAAACTGGATTTGATTAAGGAGAAGATCACTTTTAGAACCCAAGTGTTCCTCCAAGAAATCGTAGCCCTTAGATTTTACGTTAAAGGCTATCCCAGGCCTCATGACAAATGTACTAGGCCATGCATGATCCTAATAGTTTCACATCATTTTCAGCCATGATCAAAACATAGTTAGAAACACAAATAGTGCTTAAAGTATGGTGTGAAGAGTGGATTGTGAAGTTGGCAGAGTGTGTGAATGATAAAATTGAAAGGAGAGGACCTTCTTAATTAGTTTGTCCATTTGTTGATAGATTCCAAAAGAATTCAACATTTTGAAACTTGTGATCTTAAATATGTCATAACATTGACGTGATTATAAAACTTATAAAATGTGTGGTCTTAAACATGTTTTAGCACTTATTTGACTATGAAAGCTTCTTGTTAAGGAAATATAGAAATGTGTCATTCTTTCTGCAACGTAGTAATAAAGAAAAGTGGAACGGAAGGAGTAGTGACTAGTAGATCTTTGCTGAATAGCTTATTACACAATGTCAACGTACTATTTAGCCCTTTCAAAAAGACCAAATGTAGATTGAAAATAACTATCAAGACGTCATAGTCTAAACACATCATGATCAAAAGCAGAACATACGAATTTAGCTAGACGCTTGAGCTCTAATTTTTGCCCAAATGACCTTAGCAGCCTGAGCAAGCTTATCAGTTTCAGCAGGGGCGAATTTATGTACTAATTTTGGGTCACCCGAACCCGTGGTCATCCGACTAAACTCGATATATTACTTCTATAATTATTAAAGAATATATTAAATTAAAACTTGTTGAACCCATTCTCAAAATGGCTGGATGGTTCACTGATACCACTGCAAGATTTCAACTCACAGGTTGCAGGTTCGATCCCAGGCAGCTCCAATTCGCTTCAATTTATTTTTATTAACTAAAAACACATTTTTCATTAAAAAAAAAGAAAGAAAAAGCTAAATTCTGAAAGTTTAAAAGTCAAAAGACTTCAAAAGTTTCCTTCCCACACACTTTCCAAGTTCCAACAATATTTTTCCTCTCTTCAAATTTGTTTTCTATTTTCCACACAAAGAAGAAGTTTCAAGTCTCCAACTTCAAGTCAAGAATTTAGATAAATCATCATTGTCAAAGTTTAAGGTAATTTTAGTTTATGATTTCTCTTTTTAATAAACAAACTAACAAGATAAATAAATAAATAAATATATATATATATATATATATATATATATATATATCACTTAAATTTTAGGGTTTTCATATAAAAAAATCTTTGTCATTACTTATAATAGGAAATCATCAATAGCTAAAGAATTGATTATCTCAAACTTACATATTTTGCGAATGTAACTTGTAGGGAATGTGTTTCATATTATATTATCAATTTTGAAGGGTGTGATTCCTTTTTTTAATGTGAAAGGGGTGTGATTCCCTTTTCTTTTTTATATGTGAAAGGGGTGTGATTCCCTTATTTTTTTTAAATGTGAAAAGGGTGTGATTCCTCTTCTATGTGATTGCAAAAGAGGCATAAGTCCTCTTTTTATTATGAATGTGTGATTTTCTTATTGTTAAATGTGAAAGGGGTGTGATTTCTCTATTTTAGTTAGATTTGTAAAGATTGTGATTCCTCTATTTTATTTGAACTTTCAAGGGTGTGATTCCCTTATTTTTTATTGTGAAAGATATGCGATTCTCTTATTTTATTTTAAATTTGCTAGTTAAATTTGTGACTAATTAAGTTGAATAGCATTGGTGAAGAATTTTTGAATGGATGTTTAGTTTGTAAGATAGAGCGGAAGATATTTGAAAATGTAAGTAATGATGCTATTATAAATCGTTTTCAAAATATGAAGTCTCGTCGAGTACAATTGTAAACTGATGAAATTTTTTGTGGTAATGTAATTTTTATGTATTGCTCGCTTAGTTATTATTATTATAATTTTTTTGATATTATCTTTAAAGCAATGATGCACCCGTTTTCTTAAAATCCTGGATTCGCCTCTGAGTTTCAGGCATGACATCTTTGACAGAACTATCACCACAAAAATCTTCAGCCCATTTGTATAAACCCGGAGTTCTAGATTCATCAAGCAGATTTACGTTGTTTAATTTCTCGTTCACCTTCAGCCAACCCAAGAAACAACCAAGTGCAATGTCCAAGTATCCGATTTTGTCTCCACCAAAGAACTTCTTGCCTTTGCTGCAATTCTTGAAGACATCTTCCAACAACACTAGGCCTTCGATCACAGTCTCCGTTGCTGCCTTTTTTGCGTTCTCTTCTTGTGTTGCTGCCACGCCACGCAGTGCTGGAAACCACTGTAGGATCAAGTAAAATGTTAGTACGTATACTACCCTAACTCATGTCAAGAGAACTCAACAATTTATACGCGTAAATAAGATTGTTATTGACATATTTGTACAATACAATTTTCTAACTAACAAAATTGACCACTACATGTATTTCCACATGGAAAATCGAAATACTACTTCTTTTTCTCATAATAATGTGAATACTAATGCATTTAAACAACAAAATATGTTGCTAATTCTATTTAGTGATGGATTTTCAAAAAAAATTGTTAGCTTCGAGCAATTTAACGATCGATTAGTGGACTAGTTTGCTAATTCCTAACACAATAGAATTTTGATCCATAAAGATATACTCCCTCCATCTCATTTTATGTGAGGTAGTTTGACTAGGCATGAAGTTTAAGAAAGAAAGAAATACTTTTAAAATTTGTGATCCAAAATGAATGATAGAAATTTGTGTGGTAGTAAATCATTTCATTATGGGTAAAATAAACATTTCATAGTTAAATTGTTATTTAATATAAAAATGTGTCATTTTTTTTTGTGACTAACTAAAAAGGAAAGTAAGTCACATAAATTGAAACAGAGAGAGTAATTTGTTTTTCTCTCTCCATTTACGAAATAAAGACAGAAAACAAACCAAGAGATCTTGATATATAACTGAAGAAATGAAAAATATTTGGTATAGTAAAACAAATATTATTTTTTGTAGTTAAACTATTTTCCACATTGAACACACCTAAAAGAAAATACGACAGGTTAAATATGTATTTACAATTACCAACCAGTTTACAAATATTTACATTTTGGAAGTCATGATTATCATGTTAATTAAGTGCTCAAAGTTGTATTAACAACCTAATTACAGTCCACAAGATACTTATACATTATATATGTCATTATCATGCAATTAATAAGCGTATTATACATTATACACACATTAAAACAGACCAGTTACCTAGTGACGTTGTCCACGGACCTACGTCGGCAAGGTTTTAAAATGCATTTAAGTCTAACCTTTTTATATACTTAGCACCTCTCGTACTTTATCGATTGTAAGATAATTTGGACAAGCCGCTAGCTACTGCTTTATCGATTATAAGATAATTTGTATAAGCCGCTAGCTAGCTATAGAAGTGTGTTTGGTATCGCGAAAGTAATTTTCCTTCTGAATTTTTTTTCATATATATTTTCCTACAAACCTCTTTCTGTGTTTGACTGGTAAGTGCAAAATATATATTTCAAAAGTTTAAAATAACAATATTATGCTAACCAATTGAAGAACAATTTGATAGAATTTTTGAGTATTTTAAAAATTTTAAATAATCTCTAAATATTAATATTGGAGCAAGTAACAAGAAACTTCAACAAATATTCTCCGGTAACCAACAACCACAAAAATAACTACACATCATGGAATTACACGTTTTCATGTACTATGACTTTTGCTGTACGAGACATACTTGAAAACGTTTGGGGGTGGGGGTGGGGGTGGGGGGCGGAGGGGCTACAACTTCATCTACGAACCCAATAACTTTAGGCCAAACCTTGTATTTCTATCTAACTTTCACTTAATATTTAAAAATAATTCATCAAGAACTCAATAACTCAAAATTATATATGTATCGTCGTACTTAAATGTACACTTATCAAGCATACATAGTAGGAAAGAACAAGAGAAACTAAAAATTAATCAAAGCACACACCTTATCATCAATGTAAGATGCCCAAAATCTTGCAATGGCACGATCATATGGATGAGAGGGAAGAATAGAATGACCAAAATTAGTCCAATTTTCATCAATATATTGAACAATAATAAGAGATTCACAAATGGGCTTTCCATCATGAATTAGAACTGGAATTTTCTTGTAAATTGGATTTGATTTAAGTAAAAGTTCACTTTTAGTACCAAATTGTTCCTCCAAGAAATCATAGGCCAAAGATTTGATGTTAAGAGCAATACGAGTCCTCATAACATATGGACTAGGCCATGCTCCTAATAATTTCAAATCATTTCTAGCCATGATCAAAGAGGAGAACAATGAAAATGTAATAAAGTGACAGTGTTTAATTTGAGATATAAATAGTTGGGGGATGATGGGGTAGGGGGGACCTAGAGCATTAATAATTATGAGTTGGCTCAACTTTGTAACTTTCATTTAATATTTCTACCCTCGGTCACATATTAGTCGCCCACGTTACTAAAGTTGGTTGTTCCGAATTATTTGTCAACTTACCAAATCAAGAGAGAGTTATTTGGATTTTCTCTAATTTATCTTTACAATCGTTTTTTCTTTTTGAAAGTGTAAATAAGTTTGTAAAGTTTCAAAAAAAATTCTTAAAGGAAACAAAACTATTCTACTTATTTATATTTTTAAAGGAGCGTTGTAAAGGGGCACTAATATGAGACAGGAAGAAATATTGTATAATAAGCAATTGTTTATGCTGGTTAGAATTATGTAAATTTTAATGAAATAGAGATTAGTTATGCATGATTCAGTTATTTATATATAAATTATTTTATTTTTATTGTATATAGTATAGAATAATAGAAATATATCAATCGACTTAACTTATAGATGTTTGAGTTATGTATGATTATAAAATGATAATTAAAACCATACTTATAGTATTGAATTTATTTATTTTAAAAAAAATACAAACTATTAAATATAATATTAACTATTCTTATTTTAGTATATAAATAATTCACTTTCTAATCAATAATCAAACCTTCTTTTAAGTGTTTAATTTGAGATATAAATAGTGTTGGGGGTGAATTAAACAGGAACGGGCCTAGTGCATATATAATTATGAGTTGGCTGTACTTTGTAACTTTGATTTAAATTGTGTATGCGTATAAAAAAAAATTAGGTAGAATTTAGAGGGCAGTTTGGTTGCTAGTTAGAATTATGAGTTTTATATTAATAAATATATATATAAAAAAAAAGAGAGAGAGATTTGATTTTGTAGTCATTTACGAACTTATTTTTATTTTATATCCTTTTTATAAGAGTTCATTTTTACAATTTTATTTTCTTCTATTTAATTTATAAATGATAATAAGAGATCATCTCTACAAAAATATTTATGCAAATTTAATTAACATAACCATATGTTAATTATTTTATCTTACATCCTACGTAAAATAATTCATCAAAAATTGTGTTTTCTGGTCAAAAGTGACTATTTCTATAGTATGGGGACACATAGGTCTTTTTAAACCGAATCCAACCAACACCTCCGTAGCTTTCATCCCCACTACTCCATAATCCTACTTGTTGTACTTTATAATATTTGTCTAGATTATAGATAAACTAGATACAGGACCCCGTGCCAGCACGGGGCCCAATATATATTAGTATTTTTTTTCTCAATTTATGTGATATCATGGAACAACTAATGAAGCATACACACACGTAAAAGTGAGGTTAGGCTATCTGAGGGAAACACATTTGTTTTTGTGCTTAGATGATAGCCTTTCATGTTCCAAACTTTGAATGAAAACAGGAGATCAGCAGCAACATTTTCGTGTGGATTTAACCTAAATTGTTATTCAAAAGTAGCATAGGAAAAGGAAAAACGGTAGATATAATAATAATTCAGTGAAGCTAATCTCATTTAGAAAGTAATAATGAAGACAATACGTGAAACGGGAAAACACCAATTGAAAAGGAAAGCTATTTTTCTGACCAAGTAGAGTATCAAATTCATCGCCATTTGTTGTTGCAGTTTCCCTTAACACCGATTTGTCAGCTGTAAAACTTCTATTCGTACTTCAAAAAAGCACAACTTTTGTTTCTGCAACAAGTATGACTACTTTGTCTTATCATATGAATGAATGAAGAAAATTAGAGTCCTAAACTGCAAATAAAGACCCAAACTGCAAATAAAGGAACCAAAGTCCATACCAGACTATCTCTTCCAAAAAACCACAACTTTTCTTTCTGCAACAAGACTACTTTGTCTTATCATATGAATGAATGAAAAAAATTAGAGTGCTAAACTGCAAATAAAGGAACCAAAGTCCATACCAAACTATCTCTTCCAAAGAAGCAGGCTCAAGATAATACTTATTATTCACCTAGTCAGTATTAGATGTAAACCTGAAATGAAAAATTAACAGCATCAATTCAATATGTTTTTTGTCCACATGTTACCAACTTTTATACCTTTCCATTACTTTTCTGAAACATCGAGTGCTAAGTGAATAAAATATCTAAAAATGGCAATCTATGACAGCAGCAGATTCTAAAAATCGAATCAAACATATGAGAAAATCGAATCAACAAATAAGAAAATATAAGAAGAAATCTTTTGAAGAAAGCATAATTCTTCATGTAGTATGTGGAAAGCCTTATTTTTCCCATCAATATAGTGCAATAGCACTTGCAACAATTATGAAGCATCACGATAATTTGCCACAAAATAAGATGGACAATATTAAACACAAGAAAACTAACATTCTAAGTTTTAGCAATAAAAAACAGAATACATGCAAGCACAAAGATAACATTTGGTTTGAGATTTCAAAAATATTAAAACATCATCAAATCTCTTACAAAATAAGACATGGACACATGATTAATCAATAAGTATTGTATTACACAAAGTAGCTGACAATTTTTGATAATTCTTTCATCCATAGCTACATTAGAGGGAATATAATGCTGCAAAAAATTTTCACACAGATTATTACTACCACTATGATAAGAAGATAGGAAAAGTACGAGAGAAGTTGTATGTTCGAAAATGTAACAATAACTACAACAAAATAAGATGATAATCAAAGTATAAGAGAATCAAATAAGAAGAAACTCCGTAGTAGTATTATGACTATTGGTACCTGATTAATCTTTTATCCTAATCTGAATATTCCATTAGCTGCTATCTAAGTCCATATAGTTGGTTAGCCGAAAAGTATGTCATGTGATATTTAACCTCTGAAAAGCCAAATAGAATATGAAGTATGGAATGAGAAAGTATGAAATGGAAGGAAAAGGAAAGAGAACAAATACATTACCTTAGCTGAGCAGTGATTACAACTGAAGAGTTTTCAACAGTGGTTTTAATTGGATGTCAAAATTTGACAGTACAACTAACTTGACTCCTGAATGGTGTGGAGCACCTTCTCAGCATGTGGATGACAGAGATACCAAGCCTATTGAAGCATGACAAATGAAAAGTGAAATTATTGAGTGCCTTCTTAATACTGTAGATGTTATGTCGCCAACATTCAAGTGGAAGAATAAGCTAATTTGTTTTAAACAGAAATGGGGTAATTCAAAACTAAGAAAACCTTTTTAATGGTTACTGGGTGTTAGAACAGGCAATTGAACTGAGAACAGAAATAAGAATGTATAACTTGAAATGTGATAGAAGCAATGATATTAGGAAAAGTTGGAAAACATGAGTTTAAGTGACTGTTAGTATTAAATTAGTAATAATGGAAACCTTTTTGAAGGAGCAGGGAAAGTTGTGGTTTTGTATTAGGACAATGGTTTCGTTCACGAGGGTACCAATAGTGTAGTGTTGGTGAATCATCATTTGTTTTGCATGAGTAAGTAGTTGGTTTATCAGTTTGTTTGAGTTGTATGATAGTTTGCAACCACTGTAAGAAGAAGCAGGATTGAGTGACTTACATAATAAGCCTACATCATAAGTGAACATTCTGTATCTATTCTGTGCAGTAGTTGCATAAATGTTGGCACATCTTAGTCAGTTATCGAGATACCTGGAATATGTTCATAACAAAGCTTTTTGAATGATCTCATTGTATACTACATTACAAGTTGAGTGGTCATCATCATTATCTGCAGTAGGAGGTCGAATCAATATTTTTATACAGTTTGAACTTTTCGCTCTTGATAAAGCAACATATAATTGACCATGGGAAAAAACTGGTTCACGTAAATAGATACCAACATAATCTAATGTTTGTCCTTGTGCTTTATTTATAGTCATTGCAAAGCATAGACGTATAGGAAACTGTGTTCTTTTAAAAGGAATAGGTATTTTTTCATCCTCTGATGATAGTAATGGTATTCTTGGAATAAATACGTGCTTATCTTTGAAGTCACCACTTGCAATTTTACAACTTATAACATGTGTTTTGAAATCACAGCACACCAATCGTGTACCGTTACATAAGCCTTCAGAAGGATTTAAATTTCGCAATAATATAACAGGGCAGTTTTGCTTTAACACTAATCTGTACGGAGGTAAGCCAGGAACATTTAGAGTGTGTAAGAAGTCCTCAAATTGAGGTTGATCGTTTGGTTCAATAGTCTCATCAGCAGCTATGAATATTTTAGCAACTGTTGGAAATTGAGTTATGAGTCTATCATTTAGTTCATCAACAAAGTCGTTCTTTGTAGTCAAGATAACACGAGATGTCATAAAAGAAGAGTCATTGAAAGATGTATGTAAATTCGGATATATCACTTTGAACAAAAGATCTAATGACTCTTTTTCAGTAGTAAAAGGAATGATGAACTGCTTTGGGATTTCTATTTTATTGTTAATATTTGTTTTTTTCTTTTCCATTCCCAATTCTCATAAGATATTCACAAAAAACAGGATCAGTCCTTGCACGCATATTTTCTGATAGTCTCAATTTTTCAAGTTGATTCCAAATTCTGGAGTTTAAAATACTTTCAGAAATAAAGTCTTCCTTTTTTCCACTTCGGACAACAGGAAGCGTTTGCCTAAAATCACCTCCAAACACTATGACTTTTCCACCAAAGAGTATATTTGTTTCAGTTAGGTCTTTCATAAGCAAATCAAGAGCTTCAATCATATTTTTTTTTGACATTGATACCTCATTCCATACAATTAATTTTGCATCACGAATTAAATGCGAGAGAGCTTTGCTTACTGATGTTACAGGAGAACTGCTCGTCAATATTAATTGGAATTTTGAAACGTGAATGGGCTGTTCGTCCTCCAGGAAGTATAGATGCCGCAACACCAGAAGTTGTTGTCGCCAAAGCTATGAAACCTTTAGATCTTACCGTGGCCAATAAAGCACGATACAAAAATGTTTTACCACTTCCTCCCGGACCATCAATGAAAAAAGCACCTGATTCGTTAGTAAGTACTCTTTGAAGGATAATATCATATGCTTTTTTTTGTTCGGTATTCAGTTTTTTATATAATAGCAGATCTTCTTTAGTAACAACTATATTCCTTTCAAAATTAACATCTTTTGCCTCTGACTCTACCCTTGAACTCACAACATTTTCAGAAATCAATCTATACTCATTTACATCATGTCCCATGGTATGTAATACATCATTAATATGGTTCAAAACTGAATGTCTTTTTTTTTTTGGATCCATGTTTGGTAATTTATTGAAGTCTTCAGACATTGACTCTTCAAATTGTTCCCATAGTTCTTTTGGATTATCAGGATTGCAATATACTAATATTGTAGCAAATAGATGTCGCAAGCTATAAGGCATTTGATAACATACAGCCTCTGTCATGCAATCAACCAAGTTGTTATTATGATGTAACAATCCTCTTTTTTCTGCAGATTCTCTAAATGTGTCGTAGTATTTTCCATCTATTTTTCGAAGATCTTGGTATGACTCAGGGGATCTTACATTCATTAGTAGAAGTCTAAGATAATATCTCTCTCCTTCTGTTGGATGACATGTGACAAGACGACCAATAACATGACCTCGTTGTCTTCGTGTCCAAATTTTGTATGATTTTGACCACACAAAATATTGTGGAAATTCTTTATATAATAAATTGAGTTGTTTAGCATATTCGTTTGTTCTATTCATTAGGAAATATTCTGTTAACATTGTTTTCCTAATCATGGGGTTATTCATGATTTTGTCTATGTTATCAGCTGTTTTAAAAGAAACAAATTGTTGGTTTTCGAGGTGCAGTTGAAGATGATAAACAGATGGACTCATTTCGCTAATGGGGAAAGCAAATAAACGCCATACAGCTTCTGGTGCAGATACCCATCTAGCAGATTGATATTCTTTTATTTCATCTATTTCAACATTTGTATCATCCTCCCGTATAGAAAAGGATATTTTATCGTGTCCTTTACAAATATATTTATAGATATACTTGACAACCTTTATATCAGAACATACTTCGACATTGATATGACAATTAAATTTGCATAGTAGGTAGGGGTTAAAAGGTACTACCCATGAATTGTCAAGAAGTTGTTTTCTAACCTCGACATGCTCGCCTGTATTTCTTCTTCTATAGACTGCATATGAGTTTTTTCCTTTTGTTGTTTTGTCAGCAAAATTCTTTCGGTACCTGAATTTGCAAATTCCTTTTTTCTTCATACATGAATTTGTAGGATTTAAATAACCACAAGGACCATGCATCATATGTTTTTTAACAAGTTTATGTAAGTAAGGACTTTCATTTATATCAGGAAGCTCAGCAGAAACAACTTGATCATATGATTCGGGAGTAATTAATTTGAAATCATCATTAAGAATTAGAAGAAAATGAGCATGTGGAAGGCCTCGTTTTTGAAACTCAATAGTGTACATAAATGCAACAACTTTTCCAAATATGTTTTTTTTTAATATATCTGTTTTTAGCTCTTCAACTTTTGCTTTGAATACTCGGCAAATCAAATCAGGTCTATTTTGAGCTTCATCCGTTGACAGTAAATATTCTTCTATTTCTGGCCAAGAAGGATTACAAGTCATAGTAAGAAATATATCAGGTTTTCCAAAATGTTGAACTAACGTAATAGCATCCATATAACGTTGACGCATATCTCTAGGACCTCCTGTAAAGCTTACAGGAAGAAATGTTTGTTTCCCTACTTTTGAAGCATCTCTGTCACCATGTCTATGAAAATCAATAAGCCCTTGTAATGGATCAGTCCGAAATAAATCCTGATTACACGAGACAAAATCTAGCCTTTGAGTTTCAATTTTTATGAACTCATCAATTGAGTATTGTTGGAAAAGTCTTCCTGAATGTAATACTCCATTTATTTCATTATGTCTCATTTGAAATTTATAACAATAGTATTCACGACAAGAGATGTCATCTCTTTTTCGTTTTCCTTTTTGTAGTACTTTAGCTTCTATATCAAGCAGTCCCTCAATAGAACACATATTTGATAAACTTGGAAGTTGTTCATTTTCACATTGAGATCAAAATTTTTTCTTGCAAATCTGTTCAACTCTTTTAATTCCACAATGCCAACCATTTTGACCAAATGGAAATAACAATGGATACTGTAAAGGATCATAGCAACCATAGTAATAATTGACTAATTGATTGGTGTTGCTACAAGGATAAATTTGAATATGTGGTGTAGAGCTACTATTGTTTGGTTGTTGGTCTAACCATATTGCCGCCACTTCTGAAACTGTCGGTAGGTTATAAACTTGTTGATTTAATGCAGAGTCACAATTGAGTGCAATATACAAGTTTGGTACTTTCGGAACTTGCATTAGAGATTTTAGAAAGATACAGTAAGGATTTATCTTTAATATATTCATTAATTTTTGAACAACTGATTGATCAGCAATACTTGAAGAAGCCATACGATTCAACATTTCAGTATCATCATCATAAATATATAATTGTAGATTTCTTGGTTGTTGATTTGAAGGTAATACATTATCAATGAAATGATACATTTGTCCTTGAACTCTAAAGGTGTATATACCATGATATCTTTTTGCTAGCTCTTTGTCATATTTTACTCCAAGAGAAGTAAATGCAAACATGTTATTGTACATTCTAATGTAGGTACGGAAATGTTTGCATTCAGCAGTGTCTCCTAACAACAGATTTAGTAATTCTGTAGGCATTTCATGTGATGCTAATTTAACGGTGCCATTACTGCAGCAAAATCCTGGTGATTCATACTGAAATATTTTTGCCCCACAGTATTCACAAGAAGGCATTTTCTTTAAAATGCTTGGATTGTTGGGGAGTTGTTTAATATTGCAACAATATATACTTCTTAACCTATTACCTGTGTAAATTAATTGCAAGGGAGTAGGGTATAAGCTAGAAGAAGAGCTAAGGTGGAGGAACATCTAAGCAAGTGAAGATAACTAAAAGTTTTTAGAGAGACAAACCGTTGTTTTTGTCAGTGATTGCCTTTGGATCATATTGTTGATGGGCAAGTGATGCAGAACCTACATTCAAGATGATTTGAATGAAAATAGAATAAGATTTCTCTTAAATCCTGACTTTTCTGTAAGTAGGAAAAGGGAATAGACAAACCTTTGGTAGTCACAGTGATTGCAATTGGGCTGTGCTGTTTAACAGGTGCAGCTGACGTCGAGCCTATTGTAGAAACAGTTGTAATGAGGACATTAAAAAAAAATCTCCAGAAAAGTGAATATCAACAGCATTTTACTGTGACGTACCTACTTCAAAGATGGATAGGCAACCAATCATATCTTTTGCTTTACCCGATACAACTGCAGAAGTATCAACGCGAGAGGTGTCGCCTACAGCACGAACAATGGTGTTATAACCATCAGTAAATCAGAACTACACTTAGTTAGAGATAATATTAGGAAACCTGTTTCAGGGTGAGGCGGTATATCTGTAATAGGAAGACCTTTTTGTCCAGTGAATTGAAGCTGAACAGTAGGTAGTGGAGTGGGAGAACCACCAAGGAGATTTTTGTTCCTCAATTGTTGATATCTTGTCCGTCGGTGAAGAAGAAGTGCTTCTTTTTTATCCGATGAGAGTTGTTTATATATACTGCGTCGCCTATTATTAATAATGGAGGCTCTATCCGTTGAATATTGGCGTGCCTTTTCTTGTGAGGATGACGGTGGAGGGATGACTTTTTTATCCATGGACACAGCTATAACAGGAAACATATGTAATTAGCTCAACAAATTCGGATTGTAAAATAAGAAGGATATTGTATTAGATAATCAGAGAATGTAAAGAAACTTGTGAAAGCAATATCACGATAGAATAGTAGATTAACAATTTTCATTCAGTCGTGTTAAACACTATATGTGCACATTTTAATGGCAAAAATGATTCTTAGCCGTTTGTTTCAACGTAAATGCCTTAACTTGACCGACACATATATTGAAAAGCTCAAAATAAAAATATAGTCTGCACATTGATGGGTTTTGTTAACTATGCAGATTTGGACAAGATTTAATCACCTTTGAATGACCTAAAACTGGCCAACCTTGAGAAGCTGACCTTTAGGTATAATAGGGAGATAGATGCATCACTTTTTCCTGCCGTGTCTTGTTTAAGAGAGACAACAAATGATAAGATACTCTCATTTAACTATGGAGGTTTCAGAGCAGAGATCAAGTTTGTGTTGCAACAGTTGCTTCAGTCTTTGGTTGTTCTGGCAATACTCTAATTAGCAATTGACAAAGGCAACGATCCCTTAACTGCATCTCTAATCTTATATAGTAATACGTTAGCAAAGAAATTGTTACCTAAGAGGAAAACTTTACCAGTGTTAGCAAGAACAAAATGTATACTACCAATAATAATTTTGCTTGCGAAATCCAATTTCCTGTAGCGTTGGTTTTCAAGCGGTAATGGTTTGTTTTGCCTTTAAGGTTACGTAGAAAACAATTCTTGTGTTGAGAAAATCTACCACTTTGTTAGAACTGTTTTGCTCTATCTGTTTGTTCCACTAAGTAGTGCAAAGATTCAAATTTTATGAGACTCTTCCTCCTCTATCTTAGGTTCATTTTTCTTATAACTTTTGGTATCCTCTGAATATTGAAGTACCTATATAATATCTATAAGAAATAGTAAGATTTTTTAGAATTTGAATTTCATAAATCCTTACCTCCTCTGTTTTGGAAATGGAGAATTTTCTGGCAGCATAATGTTTATATTATATTCATCATTCACATACTAATCTATTAAAGCACTTCCCATTTATGCTAATTAGAGAGCAAGAGAACATAGAGCCTAGAGGCTGATTACCATAGACTTGCACATTCGGTAAATGTAAGAGCTGAAGTTTAGGAGTTCATTTACAATCCACGACTAACACTATAGATCGAAAATTACAACTAAAGTAACAGTTGAAGCAAAAAGTTCAGTGCATGTGTATAATTTATTTAAGCTCAGAACAATCCTTTCCTTCCGATAATTTTTCTATGATTTCCTTTTGCTAACATCAAAACTACACATTCAAAATATTTGTAAACCCAGAGGAAACAAAAATTTCATCAAATATCATGGAAAGAAAAGTCCAAGTTACAACAAATGAAATCCACCGGAGAAACAATATCGAGTAGAAGTGGAAAAAGAGAACTCACAAAGTATAGATAGATCAGATAGATCGGTTGAAATAGAAAGCTTGAAAAAAATCTTCAGCAAGATCGACCAAAAAGACTGATGGGAAAGAGGAAATCCGAATTTGGAAGAAAAAAATGAGGAATTTAGAAAGGACAAATCGCTGTTGAAGTCGTAATGGTTGTTAATGCTGTGAAACCCTGTAAATTTAGATAAGAACAAGCAGCGCTTGGAGAACCAGAGAAAGGAAACGACAAATCTACCCTTTGAGGATGACGACGAAGAGCAGCTTCTTGTTAGACTAATAAGCTGTAGATTTTGCTTATTTACGGATTTGCCCTTGGTCGTCACTGCTCTTCACTCTTCTATATATAAATAATAGAATATTTTTGAAATAATTATTTTTTAATTACTTTATTACTAAACACAAGAAAACAAATGGGTATTTTTTTTGTTTTTGAGAAATAAAAAAGACTAAGCATACGAGTCTAGCTTCATTAAAAACTCGACTAATTAGCCATGAACCTTCATGCATGTAGTGCAGTGGATGAGGTAATTCGTTTTTTAATTAGAGAATCTTGAGTTCGAGCTCTGAATATGAAAAAGTTATTGGTAAGGAGTGTCTCCGCACGAATAAGGCCCTACAAGTTATAAATCCAAAATAGTCAAACTTCAATGCGAGTATTACACATTAAATGAGAAAAAAAAAAGTGAGTGAGTTGGGCAGTCAAGTCCTTTACACGGGACATTAAATTTTGAGAGTAGTTAACGGATAGAAAGTTTAAATGGATTATGTTAGGTATGCTTCATGGCCAAGAACTGAACACGTTAAACGGTTAAAGTTGAAACTTGTGGTGTTTTTTTCTAGAAGTGGGACCTTTTTGAGGATGTTTGGTACGAAGGAAAATGTTTTCCATTGAAATATTTTTCTAGAAAATGTTTTCTTGGAAAACAAGTGCATTTCTAACATATTTTCTAATATTTGGTTGGAGAGTAGAAAATATTTTTAATGTTTGGTTGGTAAATGAAAAATATTTTTTAGAAAATATCTTTTTTTTTTGCTTGAGACTAAAAAAATACTCTTTAGGAAAATAATTTCTGATCTGAAAATCAACCCCGATAATTGATCTAGGACACGACTCCGACACCCAAACTAGGACAAGACCCCCTATGACCGTTCCAAAATCTGACCCGGGACTTGACCCAAACTTTCGACCTAGGCCCTGACCCAGGGAAAAAACTTTCAAAAACAATTTTTTTAACGTGGTCGTTGGGTGGGGGGTGGGTTGGGGGTTGGCGGCTGGGGGGTTGGGTAGGGGGTGGAGGTGGCATAAAAATGAAAATTTTAAAAATTTGAAATATTTTTCAAAAGAGGGGTGCCCTGGATGGAGGGAGAGGATAGGGGTGGAGGGTGGATGGCGTAAAAATGATTTTTTTTTTAAATTCGAAGTATTTTCCAAAAGTAATTTTTATTAAAAAAAAATTGACGGGAATGACCTGGGTGGGGGTGGCGGGTGGAGGGAGGGGTAAGGGTAGGGGTGGCGTAAAAATGAAAAAAGTTTTAAATTTGAAATATTTTTGAAAAACAATTTTTTTTAGAAAAAAAATAAATTGACGGAGGTGGCCTAGGTGGAGTGGCGCAGGGAGGGGGGGGGGGTAAGGGTGTAGAGGTGGTGTAAAAAATGAAAAAAGTTAAATTTGAAATACTTCCCAAAAACAACTTTTTTAAAAAGTTGGGGGTGCCCTTGTTTTTTTTTTGGGGGGGGGGGGGGGTGGCGGAGGCCGGGGGGAGTGGCATAAAAAAAATTTTAATATTAAATTTGAATTTTTTTCAAATTTTTTTTTTTTTGGGATGGGGGTAGGGGTAGGGGTGGTAGGGATTGGGTGAGGTAAAAAATCTTAAAATTTGAAACATTTTAAAAATATAATTCTGAAATTTTTTATTTTTTTGTTTGGTGTGTGTGTGTGGGGGGGGGGGTGGGGGGGCTGGTTTGGCGGTAGTAATAAAAATATATTTGAAAATTTTAATTTTTTTTTGAATAGGAAGGATCGGGTACGGGATATGGGTAGGGTAAGAAAAAAAAATTAAAGGATGAAATAGAGTTTGTAAAATGTTTTCCTTAATTTTGGAAAGGAAGTCATTCTCCTTAAATTTGAGAAAAATGAGTTAATTTGAAAATACTTTCCAAACATTTTTATCAAACCAGACATGAAAAAATTGGTATATTTTCCTCAATACCAAACATACCCTTCAAGTTTTTTGGTTTTCAAGTTGATAAGTTTGATTAAATTTGAATTTGCATTTTCCAAGCTTCTTGTTGAGGCAACATTCCCAAGATTATTTTCATTCTCAAGGGTCAAAGTCTCAAACTAAAGTCATTTAATTAAGGATAGATAGAAGTGGGACCTTAATGTTATCCACTTTTAGTTAACTTTTATACTCCCTTCCTTTATTTTTATTTTTTAACTTGACACGAAATTAAGATAGTAAAAATGTTTTTTGAATATTATGGTTTTAGCTAAATATATATAAAAAGAATATAACTTTTAAATAAAATTAAATTTTATGATCTAAAATATGTCATGTGAAAAGTTAGAATTAAAGAGCTACCTAAAAAAGCATTCTTTTTAAAATATATCAAAAAATAAAAGGAAAAAGGGTCTGAAAAATACTCCAACTTTGGCCGAAATTATTGTTACGATACCAAACTTTATAGAGGACCTTTTACCCCCTGTACTATTTAATAGTGTATTTTAAAGGTATATATGTGCCCACGTGGACACATTACTATTTAAAATGATGCAATATTTATGATGTCCACGTAGACACATATATACCTTTAAAATACACTATTAAATAGTACAAGGGGGGTAAAAGGTCATTTCCAAAGTTTGGTATCGTAACAACAATTTCGACCAAAGTTAAAGTATTTTTCAGACTCTTTTCCCAAAATAAAACAAACAAAGTGAAATGGTACAAGTACTTCCTTTCTTTAAAATATTTTGAATATATGGTGTAATATAATACTTCTCTGCAAAATAAAATATCCAGTCATCTTGTTCAAAAGAATAATTAACTTTAAAATGGTCGGATTCAGCTCAATTAAATTGAAGTTTGTAATCCATGATGATAGTCGAGTTGGTTGAACAGACAATCTCGTCGGTGGTTCAGATTTGAAATTCTTGCATGTTTTCTCAATCGAACTTGTCATAACTTGTTTAGTACAATTATGTATGACTAGTGTTCATGGGCAAGTTTATGTGAATATGGACCATCTGAGAGGCAGCCCATTTTATTTCTATTGGGCCATCCAACACATTATGACTTTTTACTTAGTATAACCACTTTTATCATGTATTTACAAGTTAGCCATAGTTTGTATTTATTTATTTTTGCAAGTGTCCGTATTCTTCACCTGGATAAAAGGGAAAAGATTCAAATATATCATCGGACTTTGAGAAAAGGCTTATTCATGTCATACATTAAACGTTGGACACATCTATGTCATTTTAGTTTGAGAAAAGACTCATCTGTATCATTACTTGTTAACGGAATTTTTTTTTCTACACGTGGTCATTATGATTAGTCTACGTC